GCTCCTGCTCCTGCAGTCTGCAGCAGCTGAGGGTTAATTTGCATAATAAATCTTAATTGAAGCTCATTAAGGATTTGATAAGAACCAAATCAGGTACACTGCGGATAACTTAAGATTAATGTTTTCGCTGTCTTTGGGCTTGTCACGTATTAAAAGAGAAAATGCCACATTCGTTCATTAGTAGAAGTTTAACATGGTTGTGAGATGTATTAAATGTAACTTTTGTAAAAACGGATAAGGCCGTCTGTGTACAGCAGTGTGCTTTGTGCCATTTTGCTTTTGAATGGAAATAGAGCACAAACCCCAGATGTTCTTTAATGAAATCAGAGACGACTGATTTTTAAAGATGCAAAGAACCTCTTTAAAAAAAAATCAACAACAAAAAACATAATACCTCTTTGAAAAGCATCTCCGGTTAGGCTAACCCGATCCGGCTGTGATTGTTTCTGAGGACCCCCCAAACCATATGGCCCTCTGACTGACTACACATGTAGGTCAACTACTACAAGATGGATGTCTTCACTTAAATCTTCTCAACTTTGTCTGACTCAGATTATGTGTTGACTTAACTGCTGAGGACATAAATTACCGACACATAAACTATAGTGGGAATGTATATCACCGCAGTAATGCGAAGCACATGAGTTGCAGTGTTTTACCACAAAGCAGATCATACCATACCTGCTCTGTGAAATCAATAGCAGGCCCACGGTGCTACTGTACTTCTGCAGGCTTGCTTTGCACTCTATCCTTTAAATCCACACAAACGAACAATCTAAGCTATAAAGCCTCCTCCCCATTTCTCTCTGTAAATCGTTATATCTGTGGGGACCTGGACAAAATACCATCATTTCTTTTGTACTTGGCAGAAATAATGAGTTTTAGCTTCTCTGCGATAAACTCTTCCAATATTCCCGTTATTGTCAGACTTAATGAGTAAAGAGAAGAAAAAAAATCATAACAAGAAATTGTCGCTTTTCTGCAGCGATGATCACACAGAAACATTATCCACATGAATCACCCCAACGGCATATCAAATTGTGTCATTTGCCTGGAAACTAGTGCAGGTCTCAGAGGGGAGGAAGGTGAACGAGCGGTTGCGTAGCGAGGTGCAAGGCGGTGCAGGCGCTTGCCTTGAGACCCATCATAACAGCCTGTTTTTCTGTTTTTGTTTTTCCACACAGGAGAGCTGAGGAGCGGCATCACTGCGCCGGAGGGCACAGGAGTCCCGGTTCTTATCGCCGAGACGGAGCACCACCCCGTCTGCAAACAAAAAACCCCTCACTAACCACTCGCTATCTAATCCTGCCACCTACGGTAACCAGGGCACATGATAAACTGCACCATGTTCCCTCTTACATCACCTAGCTTGGTGCTAGGTTGTTTTTTATTTCATGAAAAATAAAAAGAAGCAGATGATGAGGAGAAACTTCCTGAAGTCTCTATGGGGAGTGCTCGAAAGTTGGAAAACTGCAAGGATGGCAACAAAGTCTGAGCTTGTGTTTCTCATAAGATAGCAAAAAAATTTCAAGGCTGGATTTGATCAAAACAAAAATATTCGCCTTGTTGACACGATTTCAGAGAGAAACAGCACGGAGAAGTGCACACGCTTAATGACTGCTAATGATAACATTCGTCAGGAACTTTGCTCAAAACTAACTCGGGTTCTCGGGACTTTCAGGAGAGGCTGAACGCTCAGAGATGATGCTAAGGAGCTTTTTACATCCAAACTCCTGACGGGATCAGAAACCTGCTCATTCTAAACTGTTTGAACATGAGGAAGGTTTGTCTCTTTGTCTTCACGTGCGCTCTCTTTAACTGGAGCATCGTATTTAAACCTAATCAAAGGCTGCTTCCTGGGATTAATAAACTTAGACTTTAAAAAGTTGGGCTCAAATGAGAGGTTGAACTGATCTGAATTTTTCTTTGGCCTAGCTTAAAAAATCAGAGCATGTGTATTTTTTATTTAATATATTACAATAATTATGACTTGATTTACATAAACCTATATTTAACAACCCTTTGTTCAACTCGTACACTTAAAAATAATATATCAAAGAGCATTTTCAGGTAAAAAGCTGGATTGTGGACTGCAGCGAGCTGCTCGGGAATCAAGATAAAGAGTTTTCAAAAGTTGCAAACATCGGATGATTGAAATTAGTCTTCAGACTGTTCGCTTTAATTAAAATAAACCCCGCGTGAGTGTAAAATGTTCAATAGGATCATTGTTGCGGAGAAATGAAACCAAGTTGGACTTAAAAATGGAAAATCCTGGATCTAAAAATTTAAATTTAACAAAAGCATTTTGTGAATAAATTCAACAGAATCCCAAAGATTTTTTTTTTTTTTTTTTTTACATTTCAGTTCATAAAGTAAAAAAATAATGTTTTAAAGGATTCCGATATGAGGCAGTAAATACTGAAAAACCAGGGCTGGTGTGTTTTCTAAAACAATAAAACTCCGAGCCTTCGTGTATTTTCTGTCCCTTCCCTCCCAGTTGCTCAGACTAAAAAACGGACTTCCCTTTTTTCTACATAAACTGGACAAACAACATCTGCCCGATCGGAGGATGTTTTCTGAACAAACCACTTAGGAGGGATTTCTGCGAGCCAATTCCCACAAGCTGCTGTCAGTCAGTGGCTGGCACTGCAACACTTAATGCCTTTGTCTGTTCTCCAATTTATCTTGTTAACAGCAAATTGGGCTAACGGCTTGAAGCACAGAGCTATTGTAAAAAAAATAAAAAATACAGGGGGAGTACTCCCACGGCCACAGAATAACATATGGCTCCCTTCACTCAAAAATGCATCCCGAGCACTTATAGGGCTTCATGTTTACACCATATATAAACCTGATACACAGATCCCATCGTGGAGCTGGACTCTGTGGCCTGTTAGCCTCTGGCTTTGTGATTCCTGCGCAGTAATAAAGCAAAGGTTTTAGTGCATCCCATTCTGAACCGGTGAGTAATTGGCATTTTAAATTACCACACAGGCCATGTTTGCAAAGGAGGTAAATCAGAGACAACAGGGCTTTTTTTTCTCCTCGTGCATGTGGGCTTTCACGTTAACAAATATGCCTGTTAATAATGCAACTCCTGAGTGGATACAACACACACACACACAATGGATGCAGAATCCTGAGAATAAATGCTCAAGCGGGGAATGGCTTTCTTTTGCAAAACACAATTTCCACCCAAAGGGATAGTGCATCTTTAAGAGTGCCACAGGAAAAAAAAAACATAATAATGAAACATATTCCTTTGCATCTCCCATGCTCTTATTCCAATCCTCCTCTCTCCTTGTTCCCCCTCCACACATCATTAAACATATTATTATAACATGACTGTCAGCCTGCGCCTCTCTTCGCTCCATTCTTGCTCTGCCAGGTAATCAATTTGTCGTCACTCTCTGTAACCCCAGTAAAGTCATCAAGTGAAATGAGTTACAGCTGCAAAGAGCCTTCAAGAATACAGGAGAGGAGGAAAAAAAGGAAAAACGGAGGAGAAAAATGACAACACAGCCCAGGAATATTCCACCGCTTGATAGCACATCCCAGGTCTTGAAGATGAAATATTAATGCACAATTTGTTTATCTGCGGGCCCACATCTCTCCAGTGCCGAGCTGTTAATTTTCTATCGGCGCAGACAACGGATCAGTCAGTCATGAACTCTTCACAGCCATTACCGGGAGACGTTTTGATTAAGTATTCCTAATGTAGTGGATAGGAAAGAATGAAAACACTCTGCCTGCCAACTTTTGATTGACCATTAAGCCACTGATGAATGTGCCTGTCAAAGAGGAGACAATTACCTCAACAATGAAGAAACTCTTCTGGAAGGCTTATTTCTCTGTAGGGCTGACACATTTACCAGAGCCCAGGCGAGGCAGCTGGGAGCGTGTAAAGGGATCACTTAGGCATCTTCTCCAAAGTTCTCTGAATTAAAACTGGGGGACATTGTTTCTAAGAAAAGGGGGCTTTTGAAAGCTCAAATGTGGGAAAGAAATATTTATTGTGAGACTGTACAGCAGTGTGTGTGTGTGCGTGTGTGCGTGTGTGTGTGTGCAGATAAGAGTCTCTGTATGTTAAGCGGTACACAGAGGAGCTATTATTGGCTGAGAACAATCGCCATCTGGTTTCTACATCCATAATAAAGAGTGATAAGTTCTCAACGCACCACAACCAAGTGGTTACATCTGCAAACACCAGCACGACTTCGATCCGTCCACTGAACTTCAACGTTTGCATGAAGTGAACAAAACATGGCTGCAGAAAAACCCTTTCTGACTGGGCTTGTTTTACTGGGAGGAACGCTATGAAAGCGACGGGCTGCTGAGCTTGAGGCGTTCAGATCAAACATCCTGAAGATGAAGAGCCTCCTGGACGAACAGATGAGCGCTCGGGCCTCCACAAGAGAAGACAAGTAAAGCATGCGTTTTGTGGAGGTGGTTCATAGTGTCCACCTTTTCTCTGCCAACAGCACGGGTGGAGCGCACGTGTGTGACCCATTCTCCATTTGGCCATAAGATTATGAAGAGTTCACCCAGAGTTCACCTGCTACATTCAGCAGCACTTCCAATCACACATGGAGTAAATAAACCCAGAGAGTGACTTTTTATTATGAGAAAAGAAACTTCCTGCTGTGGACACACGACAAGCAGCTCCAGCACCATCATCATCCATGCAGCTGTTTGCATTATTATTATTATTATTATTATTATTATTATTATTAATATATTATTATTAATATATTATTATTATTATTATTAGTCTTATTGATTCACCTGTAAGTGCAGCTACTTTACTTTATAAAGAACTAATCTCTTCACAACTTCCCACAGATAAACTACTCAGTCCACATGAATCCAGCTTGTCGTTATATAAAGGCGTGTGTGCGTGTGCGCGCGCGCGTGATCAGCTCAGACCCAGGCAGGATGAAAGTTTGTCCCACATGTCCAACAGGAGTGGACACTGAGGACTCGGACAGGTTGGTTCTTACCCGCAGCCCGTCTGGGCGCCTGCTGCTTCCTCCGTGGCATGTTGCTGTTGCTGTTGTTGTTGTTGTTGTTGTTGTTGTTGTTTGTCTCTCTTGTTGTTGGCTTGTTTGGCTTGTGGAGTCGCAGTTCGCCAGAGCCCAGGAGGAGTGTGAATGCGGTCTACGGTAGTCCAAGCAGACACACACACAGAAACAGAGTCTTTCTTTCTTCGCTCACTTTACAGAAAAAGAAGAAAAAATCCACGAAGAAGAAGAAGAAGAAGAAGAAGAAGAACGAGGAGCAGTCAGATGTTGCCGCGGCTCCTTCCTTCACCTCCTCCTCCTCTTCTTCCTCCTCCTCCCTGGAGCGAGTTGTCTCTTCTCACCATCCGCCTCTGTCCCTCAGAGACACATGTGTTGACGGACGTGTGTCAGTCCCGAGGACAGTCTGCGCGTGTGGGGGGAGGTTGGTGGCGGGAGCGCGCGTGAGGAGCCGCTTCGGGGATGTGCGCGGTGTGTTACGCACAGCCGGTGTGAGGCGGTGAGGGAGGGAGATGGCAGCAGACATGGATCCAGAACAAAGTGAAGAAGAACTCCTCCCTCCTGGCCCGAGCCGCTGATGGCAGCGAGACATTTGTTCTGCACATCTCCGGAGTTTAAAGGCGCAGCGAGACATTTGTTCTGCACATCTCCGGAGTTTGTTAAAGGCGCAGAGGACACGCTCCCTGCGTGGACTGTGGAGCTTTTCGAGCACGAGTGACTGAAGGAGCCGCTCAGCCGCATTTTAACACGTGAACTGAAAGAAATCAAATAAATCCTGTTTCCAAAAGCATCGAGTTCTCCCCTCTTCAGTTTGTCAGGAGGACACATCTGATACAACAACGCTCTCAGGATGGAAACTGAAACTTGTTTCAGGCTGTGGACACGACTGCAACATGACTGTAACTTTTGTTTGTTGTTGTAATCTTTAGATTAATATCTGTTATACTGTGATGATTATAGGAACTGAAGGTCTTATGGATGTGGAAGTTTGTACATTAAGGTACTCATTGAAAAACAGGGAACTGTTTGTGTCCTGAACTGTAAGAAATGATGCAGTTAGAAAAAGTTTACTCCAGTAGTTTTCCAGTGATATTCATATGCAGGTACGCACTCAGTGTAAACAAACCAGTGGATGGGTGTTTGTCCAACAAAGTTCAGTCAGGTCCTCTGGACGGTTTCTTTTTGTTGAAACGGTCCGTCCTTCATCCAAAAGGCTTCGTCAGTCAAGTCTTATGGACTTAACTTTGTTGGTTTCTTCTGGATTGCTGAGCATGAATCAAGATTGGGTCATGTGACTGACCAACATTAGCCTGTGTGGGTAAATAAACATGGCAGAATTGGACAAATGTAGACCCGCAGAGAAAGTTGTTTTTTTTGTTTTTTTGTTTGTTTGTTGTTGTTTTTTTTTTTTTTTTGGGGGGGGGGATAAGACGTTTTTTAATAAAACAAAACAACCCTCAACTAAAGATGAAGAAAAAGACAAGTATTAAAATCAAGGATCAACAGGATGGGGCGGTGGGTCGCAGTAAAGACAGAGTTCACCTTTAAACACACACTGTTTTTGATTTACTGTTTTATCATTTTTACTGCTATGAAAATTGTTTGAACATTTGTCTATAATCCTAATCTTAATTTATCTATGGTTCTGATAGATATAGTCACTAGCACTTGTTGGGCTTTTCTGTCTCATACACTGTTGTGTGGACGTCCCTGGTGTTGACCTACAAAGTATTTTCACTTTTATTTATACAGGTTAATTCCATTGAGCCACGGGGACTCATTTACAAGAGAGACCTGCTTTTAACAAAGAGTGATGACAACAGTAGACAATCATAAAGGATGTGTACAAATTAAGAATAACAAGTGAAAATAAAGTGGTATTAAAGAAAATGTAACAAAAAAACAACTACATTATAAAGCGGTGTAGAAAACTAAAAACAAGAACATGTCTGCATTGGTTCTTGCCAGGAACTTCACAGATGTTTGAAGCCACTTAGAGAAGTCAAGGTCGAGAGCTTCAGGTCTTTTTACAAGATATTCCAGGAAACAGGAGCGGAGTAGGAGAAGGTCCTTTTTGTCTAGTTCAGTCCTCACTGAGGGAACACTGCAGGTAATAAAGTCCTGAGAGCGCACGCTGTAGTTGCACTCACGTAAAGATATGTAGGAGGAGATGTATGAAGGCAGCAGACCAAGAAGTGATTGAAAGATGAAAATGTACCAGTGAGAGAGTCTGCGTGAAGTTAATGATGTCCAGTTAACCAGTGAATACTGGGTGCAGTGGTGGGTACGGTAGTTACAGCCAGTTATGAATCTTAGTGCACCGTGATATACAACATCCAACATCTGCAGGGTTCTTGTAGAAGAGTTCATGTAAATAATGTCACTGTAGTCAATGGAGGGAAGGAAGATCACAGTTACAAGATGTTTCCTAGCATTAGACAGGATCTATTACTGAACAGAAACCCAGTTTAACTTTTAGTTTCCTTAACAAGTTTTCCACGTGAAGCTTAAAAGAGAGATGTGAATTGACCAATATACCCAAATATTTGAATTGACAAACTCAACAGGGACACCGTTTGAGGATAAAATTGAATTCAGACCCTTCATCTGTTTCTGTAGGTTAAACGTGTGAAAACTGGCAGCTGTTCACAAACTTTCTCTTTTTAAAGGTTTCTTGTACAGATATAATAACCATCAACGAGAAACATTTGTACAGATTTTGTTTCTCGAATGTTTTTTTCCCCGACCTGTTTTCATGACCTGCTGACACAGACAATGAATAACTTTAATCTTTTATTACAATCAGTCTTTCTTTTTTCTCTTTAAAAAAAAAAAAAAAGATTGCAGGTATGAGCTACAGAAACCAAGAGAGGACATGTTTGGAAATTAATCTTCCTGGTGTTATCAGTTTACACTGTGGCATTTTCGACCATACGCAAACTTTATTTATATCTTTATTTCAAACTCCAGTAGATTAAATCTATTAAATCTAAGGTAGAGACAGAATGAGCCCAGGTGGCAACCATGTGGTCGTAAATACTCAGTGAAACTGCAACAGAAAATTTGCCTTTCATGTCATTTTTATTTTTTATTTTATTTTGCATTGCCAACTCGCCACAGCCCAGTAAGAAACCTCTCTACCAGTATTTTGTTGATTATTGATCAGTCAGGACGATCAGTCATCTCCACACTCTTTATTTAATGAGTAGCTGTTATGAGTATTATGATATTTAAATTATTTCCTGAGAAAATTAACTTTTCATTGACAAAACAAACACATGAACTCATTGTAAGAGTATTATCATAATTACTGTAAGTGAGATTAATTTATACAGTTAGTGTGTCCTGTCTTGGCCTTTGTAAAAAAAAATCTTAATTTTTGTGAAGTGAAAATTATATATTATTATTTATTTGTGCTGCTGTTCAGCATAATATTTTTATGCTACTAGTGCTTAGTGTATATTTAGTTGATGTTTCTCTTAGTTCATATCTTAGATGTTATTACTGTTTTTCTTATACATTTTATTGTTGGATGTAACTGGGACCCCGTGTACATAATTTCTTTCCACCACATGTACTACATTGGGTGCGAATGGCAAATAAAGAACCTTGAATTCTTGAATTATTTCAACGTCACGACTAAAGTAAAGTGATAATTTTTCATCAGAAATCAGACAGTCATGATGGCGCTGAATGAATCTGAAAGTGTCACAACAAAAAGCATCCATCAAAGATTTTTACCGTTATAGATCTGCTCCAATTGTCTTGAGAACGTTAATGAATGATGTAACACAAGAACCACACGTTCCTTCACCAGAACAATCAAGATTAGTTGGTTCATCTAAAACTAGTTCTTTTAGGTATTTTCAGAAAATAAATGTGTCCTTTTCTTTATCACATATCTTATCTTAAAAAATATTACAAGATAAAGGACCGGTGTTCACAATAAAATTTATTGAAAGAAAAAAAAATGTTATTTTCCTCGATTCACTCATTCAAACAAAAACACATATCCATGCCACTGGCGAGTATGTAGACAATACATAATAATATATATTTTCCCAGAACATATGTAACTTTTTGAATAATACCATTTACAGGTTCCTTTCAGTTATTACCCATTTCTGCATGCGATAAACGTTTCATGGTGTCAGATGCAAAGAAAAAATATCTAAACGCCTTAATTTTTGTTTTGGCTTCTATTTCTGAAAAGCTCTTTATCTTCTGTCATAAGTTGTTTATTTTTTTAAAGCTTCACATTAGAAAGTGTCTTTAAAATTATTTTTGTTTTTATTTTTGACAAAAACTCATGCCTTGTCCACACAGATGCAGTTTTTTCCAAAGCGATGTTTTTGTTTGTTGTTTATAACAATTATTCTTATAACACAGATGCATTTGTAGAAATGTCTTCATCCAGGCGTGAACACCCAAAGTGATTCAAAACACTGTAAATGGACTGTACTTATATAGCGCCTTTCTATCTTATCGAGATACTCAAAGTGCTTTACACAACAATCTGTGTCCTCATTTACCCATTCATACAGCACTCTACTAGATCTCTACAAAGCTAATTGAACAAATCATTCTAAAGAGACTAATCAGTGCATTATCACATTCTTACACTGATGGGACACACGTCACATGTAGCAACCATGCCAGGCCTGCATGTGGCGCTGTAACGCTGCCACAAAAATACACCACAAACAGGAAACAAGGCATAGAGAATGTGCACAAAGTCTACACACTGACTGAAATGAGTTGTAAAGGTAAACTCAACATGAAAATCAGGAAGACCTTGAGTCATATGTAAAATTAGAGGTAGGGCCATCATCATTTTTAAAAGTTTGTGTTTCAGCTGTCTAAATGAGAACACGTGGGGAATGTTTGAAGATATTTTTCACACTGAAACTTGCTTTTGTTAATATACAGTATGGCTTCAGGGCTCAGAGAAACGCCTTGAATAAATTATTTTGTTAAGAAGACAAGTCTCCCATGTGGACAGAAGGGTGAAACAGTAGCCACGTTTAGATGGACGTAAGTAATCAGATTAAACGGCCATTTGGAATAAAATGTGTCATGTAAACGCACCATTCGGATTATTCGGAGTTGATTCAGCTCGATCCGAATTAATTTGTAATCTGAATGAGAGGGGTGGTTTATGCCAATTCATAATCTGAACGGTGTGCATGTAAACACTTAATCTGTTCATTTTATTCTGATCGTGGAAAATTGACCTGACTGTGCATGTGCGACCTGTCAACTTCACATATTTCCAACTGGTTAGATGGTAATAATATTAGCATGTCAGGGAAGCAAAACTGGTCGGTGAGCGACACAACATTTCTACTGGAAACTTTGACAGAGCTCAAAATGACCTGTATTA